CTATTCCTCCGAGAAGGAGGAGCTTGAAGTGATCCCTTTCAGAGGAGGAGGAGGAGGAGAGGCGTTTCTAAAGAGCCGGGAGCTTCCCGTCTTCTTTTCCCCCACCTCCGGGAGCTCACCTTCAGGGCCGCCTTCCCGGCGAGGTAACCCCCGTTCCTCCACAGACGGCCGGCGTGCACGAAACCTGAGAGTCACCCCTCCCCCCCGGCCCCTTTAGTACCTTTAGCTTCCTCAGACGCTACGTGTCAAGCACCTCCAGACCACTGTTTCCGGGTCACCCCGGCAGAGCATGCGCAGTCCAAGCGGCTTCTCTTCGAACCGAACCCGTCTTTCCTCTCTTTCGCAGGACGACCGCCGCAGGAAAACGGCGCAGCCGCTCTTGAGGACGACGGCGAGCATGCGCCGTAGGCTGAAACGTGTCAGCGGCGGCTTTGGAGAAAGACCGCAGGGGTCTTGCCAAGAACCAACTCTTTGCCTTTTGAAACTCTGCGCATGCGTAGAGTTGATTTAGTAGCTTTGGGCGAGTGGGGAAGTGTTGCAGCGACCTATAAAAAAATGATGTTAATTGAAGGGAAGGAGGGGGCGTTACGTCTGAAAACAGTACAAAATAATAACCGTGTTCTCTTTTTAAAGTTTAAAGATAGTTATCTTCTTCTTTTTCCATTTAGAGAAGCACTGAAATGTGTTTTGATAGATGTGCAGCAAAAGAGGTCATTTTGAAAACTAACGTTTATTCTAGGGTGAGCTTTCATGGATTGGCTTCCACATCTTGAAATGCATGGCGTGCAATATTTTGAGGGATGAAGTGGTTGGTTCTGGCACAATTAGGGTAGCCAGTGGCCATGTTCCAAACGGTGCTAGGAAGACACCTTTAACAGTTATATCCCTGAAGATTCTCAGTCATCCATGTGAGGTTATCTGGAAGTTGAGTCATGACAACTGGCCTTCTTATTAGGTTGAAAGGTTTGGCTAGTCATCCAAGTAGCTTCTTCAGTCTGAGGAGATTTGGTAGGAGACCCCTGTTATAGCCTCCACATTGGTTTCACTTCCCCCTGGTCTGAATAATCATGTTAGATGGACAAAGGACTGACCCAGTCAAAATCCCTCTTCTGTAGGCCTCCACCCATTGTCATGAGTCATTAACAGCGGTCTTTCTGGTGTTTAATAGTTACGTTGTTATTTGCTGCTACTCTAATAGAGTTTTGGAGGTACATGAGGTATTTTTACCTTGGCTACCTCTCAGTGACTTTCTTTCCATGGCTATGCAGGGATTTGAACCTACATCTTCATCCTAATCTAACCCTTTATCCACCATCCTGGCTAAACAGTTGTGTAGAAGCAGGATTTCGGCACGTCTCTTGTCAGCTACACCTACTAGAATTTCTTTATCTAATTGACAATTAAACATGTGGGAACCCCATCCTCTTCTTTATGTGCTTCCTTATTCAGTTGCTGTCTTGAAATACCATCCTTGCTACATTGATTTGCGAGTAAGTCCCATTAAATTAAGTGATACTTACTTCTGAGTAGACATGTATTTACCTGGTACTACTCTGGCATTTAATTATATTATGGCTGTCTTTACTTTGCATGATTTGTCTGTGGATTCTGTGCCAAAACATTTTTTGGGGATAAGGAAGATTTTATTACAGACAGGCAACCTTTATTCATCTGAAAAAAAAAAATTAAAGAAAGGAAGAAAATGTACTTGCTCAAATGATGCATTTCCAATCTGGCCCCACTGATTGTATGTTTATTTACTCAGGAGTAAGCTCCACTAAATTAAGAACTAATTATGCAGAGTAGTATGAAGGCTGCCAAATAAATCATGCAAATTTAGAGAAACTTAAGTCATGTGAGCCACAGTATTCAGCTTGTATTGATTCAACTCAAGCAATCGTTTACAGAGAATATGTGTTAGCACATAAACTCCTTGCCACTGCAATCTGACAGATGCCTATTCAGAAGTAAATCATATTGCATTCGGTGGACTTTGTCCCAGGTAAGTATTTATAGGGTTGCAGCCTAGAGGTTTTGAGTACCGCAGTGTTAAAGCAACTGAAGAGCCTCCGATTATAAGATCTAAGCATATGTACTAATTCTCATCATTTGAACGTAACTTAATTCTATTTTCAATTCATTTTTAAAAGTTCATTGCATTTAATTACCGTATTTTTCTGTGTATAAGATGCCCCCATGTATAAAACACTCCCCACTTTTCCAATCCAAAATTAAGAAATCTAAGAGGCGCTTAGGAAGGGTGAGGGGAAAGGGATCAAAGCGCTGCAGGATAGCTTTGATCCCTGCTTTTCCCTCCACTTGTTTTTGTTCTCTTCTCAGCTTACTTTTGTGTATAAGAAGACCCTCAATTTTTAGTCTAAAGATTTTAAACAAAAGTATAGTCTTATACATGGAAAAATACGGTATATGATTGAATTTAATTCTAACATTTGCCATTTTATTGTATTTGAATCTGCTGTTCTAAATTGTTCTGTAAATTGCCATAGTTCCAGATCAGGATGAAGGCAGAATATGAAATTAGGTAAGTAAATAGTAGGAAGCTTCTGAAAACAGCTTAATAAAATACAACAAAATGCAATGAAAGTCATTAGTAGGTACCAAAGCAAGTTGGTAAATTATTTACCTCTTTTGAAAGATAAAAATGGGCCATCTTACCTTTATACTCAGAAGTTGTGATAATATCTGTCCATGATGGAGTAGCTGGACTTGATGGTAAGAAGCCCCTTTTACCACCTTACCCTGTCATGGTAGTGATGTTGGTGAGAGTGCTGATTGTGAAGTTGGTGGTGTGCCACGGGGTTCCTCAGTCTGGAAGGCCTTGCTTTAGTTCTGGTATATCTTCTGGAGAAGCAATTCAGCTTGCTACAACATCCAAAATGTTACCTGCTGGGGACTGATGAGGAGGAGGCAAGTGGATTAAGGATATAGTCTGGTGAGTAGTTGTACTGATGTGGCAGAGCTGAGCTACAGTAGATGTCATGGCAGCTGTGGTAAACAAGTTAAGAAGTTTTATTAGTACAATATATACCTAGCCTTGACACAGTTGCATGGCCCAACTTATCACTTATGCATGTCCCTGTGGTAGGAAATGGGTAGATTGTTACTTGAAGTCTCTGTTACCTGTTATCTGTGCTACCAGTTCTCTTGCCGTAGAGGCTTTCTTTGGAAGCTCAAAACCCTGAAACATCATGGGCTTCTACTTGTTTGCTATGGATTGTTGGTCTCACTAGGCAGGGAGTCTGCATTCACACACAATCCACCTTATGTAACCTTCCAGTGTTCAGTACTTCATGGTTCTTGTTTTAACTATTGAAGCTTTATTTTTAAAGTATATTACAAGTGTACATCTACTACAGCTGAGTGAGTAACTTCTGGACTTGACATGACTGCATGCTGCTCCTATCCTAATTCCAGAAGACTTCTGCAAGCAATCAGTTCATTCCCAGTAGTCTGCTAGGAAAGAACAGAGTGGAGCACAAGAAGGTAGTAGTGCAAAGACAGATAAAAAAATGAAGAATATTTTGCCTCTATCCACTGCTGCTATGCAATGCCACACAGATTATCCAAATGGGAATGCAGCCTTTAGTACAAAATGGTTATCTAGCCCTATACTGAAGAGACGTATTAGTAATTTAAAAATAATTTTTTTGAGACAGGTTCCCTGTTCCAAAAAAAGAATTTTGTGTTAAAGTGAATAAAGAAAACATTCCTGATGGATTTAAATGTTGTTCTCCATTTTAAAAATTGGAATGAAAAATAGAAGAATTCATTTAACTATTATAAGAATCCTGGAACAGAACTGTTTTCAGACTGACTGTAGAAAACGAAGTGATCAAATGGAGTTGCTTAAAATTCTTTCTTCTTCCTAACTGAATATAGCAATGTTCTCTTGACATGAAGACACTTAGAGATCTGTCATCTTATAGGGATTTTGTAGAGATGTTTTGCGAAGTTGTTTCGCATGCTTAAATCTTCTTTTGTCTACAGAGGATGACTTCTGAATTCCCAAGTTTCATGACTTGTATATCACCTGAAATCAAATAAGCCTCTATTTTTAAACTGTCAATTACTATAGCATAGACTTTCTTTTGAACCACATATTTTGTTTAACTGACATGCTCAGTTTTGTAAAAGTATTATTAAGAATAAATTTTTGCAAAGATATGTAGGTGTTTTCCACCAAATAATTAATTGTGTGCTGTCAAGTCAATTCTGACTTACAGCAACCCTTTTCAAAGTTTTCTAGCATGGGGAAGTAGAGCAAGAACCTGACACTACTAAGGGATTTGAGACTGTCTATAGTCTTGTGCCTCCTCTAGGGGAGTTACATCTGAGACCTGGGACAGATGTGGTCAGGAATAGTTCAGAGGGCAACAATGGCCAAGGTGGGAATATAAGAGGAATCAAGAGGGAGCCAAGTATAGACAGTTTCTTGGTGGCAGGAGCAGAGGACAAGGATGTCATCATAGAGGAGAAGAGTGGGAGTTGACTTGTGGGGAGGAGGTAGCATGAGTGGAGAAATAGAAAGAAAAAGGAGAAAGGGAGGAGGACTTGCCTCTGGGATGGGATCTGGATAATCCCTGGACCAAGGAGATGGTCTGTATGAAGTTACCATTGGAGGAGATAGAAAAGAAGCATAAGCTGGTGCCTTAGCCATCATATTGGGGAGAGTGTGAATGGTGGGAACAATGTAAGAGAGAAAAAGGAGTGGTGAAGGTCCTTTGCTGAAGGGGATAGAATGAAGCCAGAGCCAGAGGGGTTAGAATGAATGGTTATGGTATACCCCAAGAGAGGATGTCCCTTGAAGAGAGAAGGATCCCTGCCCACACCTCTGGGTCAGGAGAAACCGCTAGAGGGAGAGCGGGCTTGCAGAAACCTACCAACTGGGAGAGGTTTGGCTGGCACCAAGGTTCCCTCTACGCTGGGCACGTGCATGCACATCTCTGCTTCCATCTGTGCATCTGCCTCCATTCAATGATTATGTTAGGTTCCAGTTGTGACAGAACCCAGCATGCGGAGGGAGGAGTCATGCACACATGCAAGGACAAAGTCGTGTGTGCGAGAGAGACAGAGGCCCTGCCCAGCAGGCCTGAAAAGTAGAGGGTACATTGGCTGGCACTCATTGAACTAGAAGACGAGGTATTGATGAAGAGTTGGTTTGGTCAACCCAAGTTTGAAGACCCTGTTTGTCCTTTTGAAGTTGTTGTTGATGAACCTTCAATGTTTTCAAATAAAGGTTTTATAAGTTCTCAACCTGATTCATCATTGAAGCATGAACATCACCTGTGTGTGTGTGGTGTGGTGTGTGGTGTGTGGTGTGTGTGTGTGTGTGTGTGTGTGTGTGTG